ATCATCATTGGGTTGGCATCTCTTGTTTAGAAAGTAACGTTTCATTATCCATCCTAGTCATTTTCACTGCACTTGTGAATCGTGCACTGTTGTGATCCTGGAAAGTGAGATCCTCCTCTGAGACATTACCACTCTCAGGTCCCGTACATTATTTTTTCGCTCTATTATATGCCATAGTTTATAGTATCACTGTTCTAGTTATTATATCCCCTCCAGATTTCCATAACGAGTAATTTGAATTAGTCCCTCATTGAACATCCATATTGTTTACCGTTGCCCACTGGAAAACTTGGTTTAATATATCTTTCTTGAGGTTAACCGTGTCGTCAAAAGATTACTCCTCATGCAGATCCTGGTACCGTCTGCAAGGATGGCACGGTCTGTGGATTACCATATCTGTCCAATGTCTGATATGGAGGATGAGGAACAGGATGGGGGAGAGTACTGTGCCTTGTGGAACAGAGCTTTCACTCTGGCAGCTGCGATTTAACTCTGTTGACCACTAGTCTTTGTGTTCGATGTTCTAAGAAGTGGAGTTCCATCTCCGCCACTTTTGCCAGTTATTCCCTTTAGGCACTTATTTTGTGCGCTTTACGGCCATGTGACGCACCTTGTCCAAGGCTTTTTTTTTTTTTATTGTTTTTTTTTTTTTTTTTTTTTTTTTTTTATTTTTTTTTTTTTGGGGGGGGGGGGGGGGGGGGGGGGGGGGGGGGGGGGGGGGGGGGGGGGTGGGGGGGGGGGGGGGGGGGGGGGGGGGGGGGGGGGGTGGGGGGTGGGGGGGGGGGGGTGTTTTGCGAAGTCTGTGTATATACATCCAGCGTTTCTGTTTTTTTCTTCCAGTGCATCCAGTGTGACCAGCAGTTCGAGAGGGAGGAGCGACCTGACCTGAACCCATGTGCCCTGGATTGTGCATTTTTGGGAATCCAGGTGATTTTTGCAATCATGCGTCTTAGCACTTTCTTTTGCAAAGATTTTAATAATGGCTGGACGTTATGAGCTATTGGTCTATAGTTCTTAGTTAATGCTTTGCTGCCACCTTATGGAGTGAGGGCTATATTCGTTTGTTTTTTAAGTGAACTGTGAATTTTCACCCATGTCTAAGCTCCTTCTCCATATAAAACTTAGGGCCCTAGAAAGGGGGCGATCATGCAGTTCTTAATGAACACGGAGTTCAACGAGTCTGGGCCCGCCCTGGTGCTGATTGCGTGGGCATGTGTTGTCAATGGCTTCTTCGAAATACTATCGGAGTTAGGGTAATATCGGAAATCTTGCATACATGATGGAGTTATGAAAGGCTCATTCATGAAAGAAATCATTTGGATTGCTGATCTTCAGAGTGATTAGTGGCTCACTAAAACACAGAGTCGATAACTGGGATTTCAATATTTTCAGCTCTTTTCCTTGTTGTCAACTGTGTAAGTCCCATCCTGTCTTGAGTAAGGGCCCGATACAAGATGTGGTAATTTGCCTTGTTTTTAGGCATATGAAAAGAAATCTTCGAATTTTCTTTCAATATTCACACTCGCTTTAAGCGATTTAGTGAAATTAACGTTAAGTTAGATATTTTCCACTTCCCTGGTCAGCGCTTCCTTTTGTGTATCAGAATAATCTAGGGTTCCTTGTAGCTCAGTGATTCCTTTTTTCGTCTTCGTAGAGGAGCTCATTCTCTCTCCATTTTACCCTCTGCTCTTCTTCTTTCTTAGTGGAATATGCCTAGACCATACTTCAGCTGCCAGGAAGTTGATCCATTCAAGCACTGCTGGTATCGGATCCATGGGTTATTGCGAAATCTTTCCTCCAACACGTTTTCGTTTAAGACATACCCTTCACGAATAAGTATGTTTGGGTCGGATTCCTCCACGTTTTTTTCCTTTTTCAAGGCACATAATGTGGCTACAAAAAAAAAGCTTTGATTTATATCCTTTTTAAGACTTATTTCCATCACGACAATATGCTTCATGGCCCTGTAATTTGTATTCTGTAAAAAAATATTAATATATAATGTGAGAACAAATAAGTATTCCTAATTAAGCTAAATAATTTTCATTCAGGCAGTGCATCAACAATTACAGGTCAAATTATACATCTAATATTCATGTTTCGTGTCTCCTCAAGCGCTGATAATTGGGCTAATTGGCACCGGCATAGGAATACTGATGGAAAAGTTGGGAGGTAGTGCTGCAAGTGTGGTTATGTTACAGTGGAACATATATGGACCGCAAAATGGCAATTTTTCTTGCTGGCATCTTCTTGACCCACCGTGGGTCAACGCCAAGGTAGGTAACGTAGTTGATTACTATCATTATACTAGTCATGATATTGTTGCTTGATTTCTGAGAGTGTTTATTGCAATATATTTCTGTAAGAAAATATTTATTCTCAGAATGTTGATCTTAAATTTATGGTAACACAGGGCGCCAGGTGGCAGGAGGACTCACCGCATTTGTTTTGAGTGCGTGGGTAGGTTGCAAGGCATTATAATGTAATGGATCAGCGCCCATACCGTACCTGCCATTATCTACCTCGTGTTGTCCTTTAAACCTTGCTTTCTCTGACAACTTCACAGTTTATCTCCTTCAGTAACTTTTCAGCTACAGACTCTTTCATAAATAAGACAGCGACGATGAGTACCTACGACCAATTCAACGCTGAGTGACTTTTCCAACACCCACCTACCGTCCAGATGGTTGCGTAATCATTTAGCAAGTACTTTCTCTATATTGCAAACATGAATTCAGAGCATCATCATTGTATGAGATCAGATGTTGATCATTTTTCTTTCTTCAATTTGGGAAAGTAAATCCAATCACAGATAACTTTCAACCTGCCTGTTTAAGATAGTTTTAAGGCAGAAGCATTTTTCATATTCAATTGTACACTGCAATGCTCATTTTCTTTGGTTTTTATCATTCCATTATAATTTCTTGATCATTATAACGACAAGTTACAAACAAAATGTTACACTACAACATAGAACTTACAAGGATGAATCCTTAGAACCCCCGCATTAACTGCAGGAGATTACTGTTTATATGAGGAACATCTCTTATGAAAGAAATCGTGTTGCTAGCGAAGGAACACTTAACTGAGGAAATTGGAACACCTTCTGTGCTTTCTTCCATTTCCCAGGAGCTGCATAGACCCTTTGTTGGGTTAACTCACCTCCCATTGAATGTAATATATTAATGAGGAACAACTTTATAAATTAACTTACGGGACTGAGTTATGGTTATTAAAGTGCTATACATATTTTATAAAAGTAGGTGTTAGCAATCATATATTGGAACAAGGTGCTGCATAACATCAAATTCTCTTTGTGTGCCTCTGATGATAATTTTTGTTGAATTAAACAGTAAAATACAAAAATGTAATTGCATCTAAAAAGACAGGGCGTGAGCGTTTGGGATGAATCACTGATAATGTGCTGCTACATTTATTATGGTTGATCAAGTAATTCGAGTACGGGAGAACAGCAGCAAGTGTGGTTATCACTTCAGCTGAGAACCAGATTTTAATTAGCAACACACCCGAAGAACACAGGAGCAATACGCATACGGCCCTACTTCAACGTGCATGCCTTCATAGTCAGTTGTGAGGTAATCTGAACGTGTAAAGACAAGCCTAGTGCTCTCCGTTCTTAGCTACCAGCGGTGACTGTAATGATAGCTACCTTCCCTCCATTGACCATGAACAGAATTATATTCTGTTTAAAGGCAGAATTACAGGAAGCTAGAAGTGAGAGTAACGACAGTAAGTATGTGCAAAGATTATCCCCGGAACAGGTTCACTGAGAAATGCTGGCAACGATGGATTCGGACTAATGACTGATGCGGTTCGAACGAATGTGACGAAGCTGAAGATAAAGGGAAGGTCCCAGGAGACTCTGTAGACACCAGCAGTTACTTTCGCAATGTTGACAGACGAGTGTGATGAATGGTGTTAGAAAAACCGACAAGTTTGAATATTGAGACACCTTATACAACATATGGGAATCTTTATTCATGAAACGTTTCGCCACACAGGTGGCGTTCATCAGTCCGAAATCAAAGTATAAAAGGTCGTAAGGGAGAGGAGGAGTTTGAGTAAGCAATCTCCCCTCAAGCCTGGAGTCGATGTGTACAGGTCCCATCAATCTTGTAAAATGTTACAGCATAGGGGCCGTAGACGTGGCATATATACTGTAGTGAGGTGAGGTGGAATCAGGCGGGAGGTGGGGTCATAGTGTGTATCAAAAACCAAACAACAGAAAGTGTTACAGTAAAGCAACAATCCTTGCTCTACATTTAGAATATGCTGCACAGTTTTGGTCACTGTATTACAGAATGGATATAAATGCCCTGGAAAACGTTCGTCACATGTATCAGAAATCTTCCCTCTGAGGATAGACTAAGGGCCCTGAACCTGAACTCTCTAGAAAGACGTAGAATTAGGGGGGATATGGTTCAGGTGTATAAAAGGAAAACAGGAATAAATAAATGGGATGTAAATAGCTTGCTAAAAATATCTAACATAGACAGGACTCGCAGCAATGCCTTTCAGTAGGAATAATTCAGATTCAGGAAGGATATAGGAAAGCACTGGTTTGGTAATAGAGTTGTGGATGAGTGGAACAAACTCCCGAGTACCGTCATAGAAGGTAAGATCTTGTGCAATTTTAAAAATAGGCTAGATTAATACATGAGTGGGTGTGGGTGGGTGCGAGTTGGACCTGACTAGCTTGTGCTACTAGGTCAAATGCCGTGCTCCTTCCTTAAGTAAATGTGACCTGATCTGACTAGGTTAGGGCGTTGGCTTAAGCCGGTAGGAGAATTGGACCTGCGTCGCATGGGCCAATAGGCCTGTTTCAGTGTTCATTCTCTCTTATGTTCAGTATGAAAGTCACTTGAGACACAAAGGAAATTAATGAACCAGTATTTACACAAGGATAAGAGTCTCTGATACAGTTCACTAACTTTCAACAAAAGTTCTCTTTTGGCTATTAAAATCTCAATACACGCAAAATGTCTATAAATGAAGTAGGAATGTTGACAGAAGGTCTGGAAGCGGTGAAAGGTGTGTGGGATGGCGACATTGGTCCCGCCTCCCCGTCACCCACCTCCTCCATCCCCCTACCTGCAGTTTACCTGGAGGGTATTCCCGGGATCAACGTCCCAGCGGCCCGGTCCACGCCCAGGCCTCCCGGTGCATCAGGGCATGATCAACCAGGCTATTACTGCTAGCCACACGTAGTCCAACGTGCGAACCACAGCCCGGCTGATACGGCACCGACTTTAGGTATCTGTCCAGCTCCCTCTTGAAGGCAGCCAAGGGCCTGTTGGTAATTCCCCTTATGCTTGGTGAGAGGCTGTTGAACAGTCTTGGGCCCCGGACACATATGGGGTTTTCTCTTAGTGTGCCAATAGCGCCCCTACTAATTGGGGGTATTTTGCATCGCCTGCTCAGTCTTTTACTTTCGTAGGGAGTGATTTCTTTGTGCAGATTTGGGACCATTCCTTCTAGGATTTTCCAAGCGTAGATTATGATATATCTCTTTATCCTGCGTTCCAGGTAGTACAAGTCAAGTGCTTTCAAGCACTCCCAGTAGTTGAGGTGCTTGATAGAACTTATACGTGCAGTATAGATTCTCTGTACACTCTCTAGATCTGCAGTTTCACCTGCTTTGAATGGAGATGTTAATGTAAAGCAGTACTTCAGCCTAGAGAGGACAAGTGATTTGAAAAGGATCATCATTGGGTTGGCATCTCTTGTTTAGAACGTTCTCATTATCCATCCTATCATTTTCTTTGCACTTGTGATCGTGGCACTGTTGTGATCCTTGAAAGTGAGATCCTCAGACATTACCACTCTCAGGTCCCTTACATTATTTTTTCGCTCTATTATATGGCCAGAGTTTATAGTATACACTGTTCTAGTTATTATCCCCTCCAGATTTCCATAACGAAGTAATTTGAATTTGTCCTCATTGAACATCATATTGTTTACCGTTGCCCACTGGAAAACTTGGTTTATATCTTCTTGGAGGTTAACCGTGTCGTCAATAGATGACAGTCTCATGCAGATCCTGGTACCGTCTGCAAAGGATGACACGGTGCTGTGGATTACATATCTGTCTATGTCTGATATGAGGATGAGGAACAGGATGGGGGAGAGTACTGTGCCTTGTGGAACAGAGCTTTTCACTCTGGCAGCTTGCGATTTAACTCTGTTGACCACTAGTCTTTGTGTTCGATTGGCTAAGAAGTTGGAGATCCATCTCCCCCACTTTGCCAGTTATTCCTTTTAGCACTTATTTGTGCGCTATTACGCCATGATCGCACTTGTCCAAGGCTTTTGCGAAGTCTGTGTATATACATCTGCATTCTGTTTTTCTTCCAGTGCATCCAGTAGTGATCCAGCAGTTGCGAGAGGGAGGAGCGACCTGACCTGAACCCATGTTGCCCTGGATTGTGCATTTTTGGGAATCCAGGTGATTTGCAATCATGCGTCTTAGCACTCTTGCAAAGATTTTTATAATGTGGGACGTTAGAGCTATTGGTCTATAGTTCTTAGTTAATGCTTTGCTGCCACCTTTATGGAGTGGGGCTATATTCGTTGTTTTAAGTGACTGTGGAATTTCACCCATGTCTAAGCTCCTTCTCCATAGTAAACTTAGGGCACTTGAAAGGGGGTTTCTTGCAGTTCTTAATGAACACAGAGTTCAACGAGTCTGGGCCCGGGGCTGAGTGCGTGGGCATGTTGTCAATGGCTTCTTCAAATTCTATCGGAGTTAGGGTAATATCGGAAATCTTGCATACATTGATGGAGTTTTGAGGCTCATTCATGAAGAAATCATTTGGATTGCTGATCTTCAGAGTGATTAGTGGCTCACTAAACACAGAGTCATACTGGGATTTCAATATTTCACTCATTTCCTTGTTGTCATCTGTGTAAGTCCCATCCTGTCTGAGTAAGGGCCCGATACTAGATGTGGTATTTGCCTTGTTTTTGGCATATGAAAAGAAATCTTTCGAATTTCTTTCAATTTCACTAATCGCTTTAAGCGATTAGTGAAATTAACTTAAGTTAGATATTTTCCACTTCCCTGGTCAGCGCTTCCTTTTGTGTATCAGATAATCTAGGGTTCCTGAGGAGCTCAGTGATTCCTTTTCGTCTTCTGTAGAGGGAGCGTCATTCTCTCTCCAGTTTACTCCTGCTCTTCTTCTTTCTTAGTGGAATATGCCTAGAACATACTTCAGCTGCCAGGAAGTTGATCCTTTCAAGGCACTGGTTCGGATCCATGTTATTTGCGAAATCTTCCCAACACGTTTCGTTTAAGACATACCCCTTCACGAATAAGTAGTGTTGGGTCGGATTCTCACGTTTTTCCTTTTCAAGGCACATAATGTGGCTACAAAAAAAAAGTTTTATTTATATACTTTTTAAGAACTATTCCATCACGACAATATGCTTCATGCTGTAATTTGTATTCTGTAAAAAAATATTAATCATATAATGTAGAACAAATAAGTATTCCTAATTAAGCTAAATAATTTTCATTCAGCAGTGCATCAACATTTACCAGGTGCAAATTATACATCTAATATTCATGTTTCGTTTCTCCAGCGCTGATAATTGGGCTAATTGGCACCGGCTTAGGAATACTGATGGAAAAGTTGGGAGGTGTGCTGCAAGTGGTGGTTATGTTCAGTGGAATCATATATGGACCGCTAAATGGCATTTTTCTTGCTGGCATCTTGACCCCGTGGGTCAACGCCAAGGTAAGGGAACGTAGTGTGATTACTATCATTAGTAATAGTCATGATATTTTCTGATTTCTGAGAGTGTTATTGCAATATATTTCTGTAGAAAATATTTATTCTCAGGAAGTTGTTCTTATATTTATGGTAACACAGGGCGCCATGGCTGGAGGACTCACCGCATTTGTTTTGAGTGCGTGGGTAGTTGCAGGCAATTATATGTATGGATCAGCGCCACCGTACCTGCCATTATCTACCTCGGGTTGTCCTGTAAACCTGGCTTCTCTTGACAACTTCACTGTTATCTCCTTCAGTAACTTTTCAGCTACAGACTCTTTCATAAATAAGACAGTGACGAGGGAGTACCTACAGACCAATTCAACGCTGAGTGACTTTTCAACAACCACCACCGTCCAAGGGTTCGTATCATTTTGCAAGTACTTTCTCTATATTGCAACATGAATTCAGACATCTTCATTTGTATGAGATCAGATGTTGATCATTTCTTCATTTGGGAAAGTAAATCCAATCACATTACTTTCAACTGCTGTTTAAGATAGTTTAAGCAGAAGCATTTTCATTTCAATGTACACTGCAATGCTCATTTTCTTTGTTGTTATTCATTACCATTATAATTTTCTTGATCATTATAATCGACAAGTTACAAACAAATGTTACACAACTACAAGAACTTACAAGGATGAGATCCTTAGACCCGCATTACTGCAGGAGATTACTGTTTATATGAGGTACATCTTCTTTATGGAAGAAATCGTGTTGCTAGCGAAGGACACTTAACTGAGGAAATTGGAACTACCTTCTTGCTTTCTTCCCATTTCCCAGGAGCTGCATGACCCTTGTTGGGTTAACTCTCCCAGTGAATGTAATAATATTATGAGGAACAACTTTAAATAACTTACGGGACTGAGTTATGGTTATTAAAGTGCTATTCATATTTTTGAAAAGTAGGTGTAGCAATCAGATATTGGAACAAGGTGCTGCATAACAGCAAATTCTCTTTGTGCCTCTGATGAATTTTGTTGAATTAAACAGTAAAATACAAAAAATGTAATTGAATCTAAATAGGACAGGCGTGAGCGTTGGGATGAATCACTGATAATGTGCTGCTACATTCTATTATGTTGATCAAGTAATTCGTGTACGGGAGAACAGCAGCAAGTGTGTTATCACTTCAGCTGATACCAGAGTTAATTAGCAACACACCCGAAGAACACAGGAGCAATACGGCATACGGCCCTACTTCAACGTGCTTGCTTCAAAGTCAGTGGTGAGGTAATCTGTATCGTGTAAAGACAAGCCTAGTGTGCTCTCCGTTCTTAGCTACCAGAGACTGTAATGATAGCTTCCTTTGACCATGAACAGAAGTATGTTCTGTTTAAGGCAGAATTACAGGAAGCTAGAAGTGAGAGTTAACGACTGAAAGGTATGTGCAAAGATTATCCCCGGAACAGGGTCACTGAGAAATGCGGCATAGATGATCGGACTAATGACTGGATGCTGGTTCGAACGAATGTGACGAAGCTGAAGATAAGGAAGGTCCAGGAGACTTCTGTAGACACCAGCAGTTACTTCGCAATGTTGACAGACGAGTGTGATGAATGGTTTGAAAAACCGACAAGTTGAATATTGAGACACTTATACAACATATGGGAATCTTTATTCAGGAAACGTTTCGCCACACAGTGGCTTCATCAGTCCGATACAAAGTAGAAAGGCGTAAGGAGAGGAGGAGTTTGAGGTAATCAGTCCCTCAGCCTGGAGTCGATGTGTTCAGTCCATCAATCTTGTAGAATGTACAGCATAGGGCCGTAGACGTGGCATATATACTGTAGTGAGGTGAGGTGAAGCAGGCGGAGGTGGGGTCATAGTGGTATCATCCACGTCTACGGCCCTATGCTGTACATTCTACAAGATTGATGGACTGAACACATCGACTCCAGGCTGAGGGACTGATTACCTCAAACTCCTCCTCTCCTTACGCCTTTCTACTTTGTATCGGACTGATGAAGCCACTGTGTGGCGAAACGTTTCCTGAATAAAGATTCCCATATGTTGCATAAGTGTCTCAATATTCAACAGACGAGTGTGAATCGATCCTAGACATCCCAGCGAAGACCAACCAAACGATGACCGTCTAGACTCTAGAACGTCAAGACACACACTGCCAGTGAAGTTATGAACAGTGTTATAGATGGGGACAGTCAGGTTACGTTTATGGATAGGGCATTTGTCTTAGAGATAGGAAGAAGAGGCAAAGGGTGTGGGGCTGGAATGCAAGACATTGCTAAATGTCTGGACAACTTCATGAAAGGTAATGGGAACAATTCTATTATCTGTCTCATTACTGGAGGCATAGATGTTGGTAGATGTAGGAGTGAGGCCCTGATTAGCATGTACAGGTCAGCAATAATTAGGAAGAAGAGAGGGTGCCCAGTAATATGTGGCATTTTGCCAAGGAGATGAGTATGAAATTAATTGTTGCCCATGGCAACTGGAGTTAACTGCTGCCCAGGCAAACACTGTAAGGAGATTGTAGTACCATTCATTGACAAATGGGACCTCTTCTATGGCAGAAATGACATGTATGCCACGGACGGGGTTCATTTACCTAGGGCTGGTGTGGGGGCACTCACCAGTGCAGTGGAGAGATGTTAGGGCTTTAAACTAGAAATAATTAATGTTATGGGTTTTTGTAGAACCGCTTATTTAAGTTATTTAAATTATCAAGATTGTGATAATGTAAATTTTAGAGGTAGCATCCGTCATTTAGCGTAGGGTAATCATGAAGATAATTACAACAGAAATAGTGAAAATGAAAAAAATAAAAAGGCTAAAAGCACGGAAGAAAAATACTCTTCAAATAATTTATATATTGGTAGAAGAGTCAGAAATATGATGAACGAATTACGTCTGGCTTCATGTGTGGGAATCACTTATGTTACTGCAATAACTGGGACTCTGTTTAATATGAAGGGTAGTGACATGACTGCCGAGTACTCCATTCAAGGGTTTAAGTTAATCCATGTAGACAGAAATAACGGGAAGGGGAGAATGGTAGCACTAAATGTGCTAGAAAATACAAAATATATAAAAATCAGTATAAAAATTGAAGGATTAATCACAGAATCTGTTTGGGTATAATTTCTAGAAAAATCAAGAAAAATTAGTATTAAGTGTAATATACTGTCTCCTAGTATAGAGAGTGACAGATGAAGACTTCTCTGGATTTAAATTTTTAGGGTTTCTAGACATGATAACGTAGTAATAGTAGGGGATTTTAGTCAAATTGACTGGACTTCTTTGATCAGAAATCTTGAGTCCAGGGACTTCCATGAAGTAGCTCAGAATTTCTTTCTGAAGCAGTATGTAATTAATAATTTGCTCGACCTAGTCTTGTCAGATAAGAAGGAAACCCTCGTAAATAAACTAGAGGTCACTGAAGAGCTTGGTGCAGTGATCACAAATCTATTACCTTTCATATTATCTGGAAGCACTTTAATAAGGTAATAGCGGGGTAAAAGTTAACGATTTTCCGTATGCCGATTATAATGGGCTTAGGGAACATCTGTCTAGCCTAGATGGGATCTGTGACTATGACCTTTTTTCTTAATAATGTACAGTTTTCCCAACGTCTATGTATTCCACAGAGAGAAATTAGGTCAAATAACAATGATACCATATGGATGATGTTAGACTCATCAGAAGAGGAGAGGATAACCTTATTGACCAATGTCAAGATTAAAAGAGATGTAAAGAAGGGAATTAAAAAGGCTAAACGTGACCATGAAATTAAGGGCGCTGATAAATCAAAGATAAATCCAAAAGAATTCTTTCAAGGAAAAATAGGACCGCTGAGAAATTGAGGTGGACAGCTTACTGATTGTAATGATCAGCAAATATATTATCTTTATATCAGTTATTTTTCATCAGTCTTTACACAAGAAGACGTAAATGATATCCCAACATTTAATAGTTATTCAGGTCCCGAAGAAAAAATTAAGTAATAAGTCCCCGGGTCCCGATGAATTATTTTCAAGAGCGCAAGTCAGCCGCTAACGAGCGTGTTTAATGCATCTATCCAAACTCGTGTTGCGCCAGTGATGCGGAAAATTGTAAATGTAATTCTTATGTTACCATCATATTACTATCAAATAAACCTAACGTTTATAGTAGGCAATTTATTAGAAACAACTATAGACGATATTATTGGAGGCTACCTTAACGAGAATGATCTGAATAATAAGTCTCAGCATAAACTGATAGGAGGTTGTTCCAGCCTGACAAATTTACTGACATTCTTTAGAGTAGTGGACAACAAGAAAGAATATGATGTTGTTTATTTGGATTTCAGAAAGCCCTTTGATAGAGTATTTCACTTAAGACTCTTAAGAAAAGTAGCACTTCATGATATTGGGAGTAAAGTTCTAACAAGGATCGAGGCAAAGCTGACCAAAAAAAAGGAGCGAGTTTGCATTAATGGAGTCAAATCTGATTGGGGAACCTGTTACAAGTGGCGTTCCACAAGAATCAGTTGTAGGCCCAGTGTTGTTCAAAATTTATATTAAAAGCCTTGATGAACGAATTACAAGTGATATGAGTAAATTTATGGATGACACAAAAATAGGCTGAATAATAGATTTTCAGGAGGACACCAATGAAGTCCAGGAGGATTTTGACATTAATATCATGGTCTGAAAAGTGGCTGATGCAATTCAATGTTGTCAAGCGTAAAGCCTTAATCCTTGCATATGAAAATAACCCTCGTGGTTATAAACTATGTGATGAAGACCTAGGTGACATAGTGAAAAAGACTTTGAAGTCATCGTAAACTGAAATATGAAGCCAAGAGAACAGTGCCTAAGTGTGTGCAATAAGGCTAACAGATTACTTCGATGTAGATCATGAAATATAACAGGAGCACAAAAGTTATTCAATAGTTCAAGCGATCTAGGACATACAGTGCCACCCCCACCCCAACCCCCCTATACATCGCTAGTAAGGCTTTAGTTATTTTATGTTGTTCAGTTTTGGTCTCCTTTCTACAGAATGGATAAAAATTCATTATAGAATATACAAACAAGGATGACAAAGTTGATCCACTGTATATGGAATATCTCATACAATGGTCGACTAAGTTCCTTGAATCTTCACTCTTTTGATTGACATAAATTGAGAGGGGTTACCACATGAAGAAGGATGGACATAAACAAAGCCAATAAAAATAAAGTACTGAGGATATCAAATCAAGTAAGAACTATAAATAACGGATTTAAAATAGGTAAATTTAGATTGCAGGAGGAAGTAGATATGAAATGGTTATCAAACAGAGTTGTCGGTACGTGGAACACTTCCAAGTACAGTAATAAAAGCTAAAACCTTGGGGAGCTTCAAAAAGAGATTAAACCATGCTGTTTCTGCTATCTGTCCTGAGAGGAAAAAGG